TTATTCTTTGCAAATATTTTAGAATAAAAGTATATAACAAAAGTAATTTTTGTTATTCATTATAATTAGAGATTTATTTTTTTAATTAAAAAAAATATATATTAGAAATTATTAATTATACATATGTTTCATCATATTTTTCAAGCTGTAGGCAGTCTATAGATATAGAATAGAATGAACTGATTCAAATGTGATTTTTGATTTCTTGACTTGGAGTTTTAAAACAACTGATTGTGATATCTCAGCCACAAACGAGATCGTCGTCACCAAGTTAATTTGCTTGAAAACATCCTTTCTCTTATTATGCATCAATTGTAGCGACACGCGACAACGATATTGCCTGAAATATCAAGATGAAATTCGTATCATTATTCAACGGGTGTACATTTAACGTAATAACTAAGGAAAGGCACGATTTTAAGAGTTCCGATGACAACGACGATATATTTAATATTATGCGAATTTTACTTGCGCATCCCTTTTGTGATTGTTTTTGTTTGTTTCGGCGATAAATGTCATGAATGATTGTCGTGTTTATTATCGAGTAGTGCCGCCATTAGTGTTGGTATTATTTTGTTCTTCCTCGACCTAATTCTTTCATTGCGATGTGCATCTGCTTTTATTTATTCATTGATATTTTTTTTTACAAAATATTTGCTCATGCTTGTTGATGAAACATAAGTTTCTAGCATAAAGTTTGCAGCATCGTTATAGAAAGATAAATATTTTGTAATTATTTATAAGTGAATGTACTTTTTATCAATTTGCTGTGTTGCTGTTAGAGCAAAGAATCAATATCAACTTTTGGCTCTCTCTATTGATGTTTGTATTCATATTTGCGCGTGTGAAGAGCTCATAGTTAATTTAAAGAACTAAAACAATACAAAAATTATATTATTTTCCAAATTTTCTCGTCGCGTCTTTTTTTTCTAAACTTTTTCTCTCCGCCAGGAATTTTAAACAAACACAGATTCCGAGAGATTGCATTAGAGTCAAACCACTAGTCGTTTATAGTTAACACCTGAGACCCCCGTAGAGCTCCAAGGGGACTACACCGTGCGTATAAATCCAAAAAAGGATCTCTCTAGGTTTCCCTTCGATGACGAGGCGGTTCTTGCGGGACAAATGAGCCAGAATAAATATCAGGGTAGACCGTGAACGCCGAAGAATGCCCAGAACTAACCACCCTGAAAACGGAAACGGGAATGTTTGCGATCACTGTGGCCGGGAATGCTTGTTCAAAGAAGAGTCGCCATCGTCTCGGTGACTTCTATTGCTACACGGGTTACACGTCTTTACAAACAGACATTGTAGGTTTCTGATCGAATAATGTCTGTGAAATATGCCGTAAATAATTCCTCTTTTCCCTTTTATGTCTAAATAAAAACGAATGATCTATGTGAAGGAATTATTGAGTAAAAGGAGATACACATAATTATGATAGAAGTGGAACAAGAACAAGGTAACAATGATCGTTCGATAAATTATGATAATAAATATTTTGTTATTTCAAAAGACGGATATATTGTATGGTAAATATTAAAGCTCGCGCTTCGATGATGAGGAAGTTTCAAAAGGACAAATGAGCGAAAATGAATACCAGGTAGAATCATAAATAACGTAGCGAGAGGAAGGCTGGCAATCTTGAGAGAGAGAGAGAGAGAGGGAGAGGGAGAGGAACATGAGCTGCAGCTCAGTTATTGGGTGAATAATTAATTTATTGGCCACGCTCGTGCTATCTACTTAGGTAGGATTTCACGAGCTCCTCCCACCCCTCTAGGCTGCCGGGATATTATAAAACTCGTTCCACTAGTTTACCCCCGTCGCTCATTTACATTTAATTGGGGAATCAATCCAGAGCCGGGGTATCGTTACAGAATATTTATAAGCTCTTTGTGCATGTAATGCGTGCGAGTTTTAATTTCGCCGACGGGACGCAAATGTTGCGATTTTTCTCGACAACCTCTTTTCGACAACCACTTACCACTCAACGATTGTTCATTCGTCATTGTACCGAGTAGATTCTCTTCAATCTCACAATGATGCCGCGTCGCACCTTTAACGTTTGCCAATTAATAATTTTACGTTCCGATCAGGTATCGGAAAATTAATATCGAACACCTGGCCACCGCTACTGGCGGTGATACGTCGTATCTCGCCGACACGCATACACACTAATTTATTGCAAATCCACTCTAGCCCATTACGAACTTCAAAGCGACGCGGGTGCGCCATCATTGTTTTCTAGCGTTATAAACACCGCTGTGTCATGCGCGAGAATGCGAAAACCGTTGAAAGCCTCACGCGTTAAACTAGAACGAATTAATGCCATGAATTAATGGCAAGATATATGTATTTTAATATACCGCATAACTATCGAAATATGAATTTGTATTCGACGTTTAATTCTTATACTTATCTTTTATTTTGAATTATTTCTTTTGCGCAATTTTTCAAGTAAACCACTATGATTAAATGAATAAGATACAAATCAGAGTTATACATTGAAATAAAATATGACGAGATTTCTCTCTCTCTCTCTCTCTCTCTACTATTTTATAGAAATCATTCAAGTAAGACTAATCGTACGTGGGTAGCGCATTATTGCATCGGAACTTAGAGAAGAGAATCTCATGATGTCTTGTGGTGTTAGGAAACTAGGACAATGTCGACCATAATTCTAATTTCACCATGACATGGGGTATGTGCGCTTTTGCAATGCGGTTCCGCGGCAGCCGTCCATCGGCGTCTAACTGCGCCGGGATGCGTATATTTATTAATCGATCGTGGCCGAGCTATCGACAGGCGCGATCACTACCGTTACGACACATTATAGGCAGTAGGATCAAGTAGGTCACGTTCGTCTCGTACAGTCTTGTTGCCGCGTGATAATCATTTAAGCTGGACTCAACGAACAACTCGGCAGAACTATCCGTCATTCTCTTTCTTCTCCTCAATTTATTTAACATTTATTAAATTACTTACTAATTTTTAAAATTCATGATTAACATAATTATAATTAAATTTTAATAGACGAAATAAAACATTTATCCGTAATAAAAAAAGGTGATAAAAAGATTTTAAATTACAAAGAGGACAACCTGTCAAATTAATGATAAATGTCATATGCATATCATAGCACTAACATTCGATAAGAAAATTGCGGCGCGTGTACTCTTGTTTTAGTAGAAAATTCAATCTGCTCTCATCGACCTCGCTAAGAAAATAAAGTTGTGCGCGAAGGCAAACCTGTTTGTAGAAGTCGGATCCGCCCGCGGATCCCCAGAGTGTTGTTCATGATTTAATGCCAATAACGAAGCGTGAATCGTGAACGAATCGAATCGCAGACGTCTCCAGGTATTTTTTGGTTCGATTTCTCTGACTCTCTTCTTGAAAGAAAAAGACAGAGAGGATTAAAATAAGATGCTTAAAGCATATAGTGTATAAAAAGATCTTCACGAAATACCGGCGCCGTGATTGAATCGAGATTTGACTCATTCGACGAGAACCCTTTAATCGAAGCACGAAAACGAGCCAACTCTCCCGTAATTTTTTTCTTATTTCGACTAGCACGACTATTTTAAGCGATACGGCACAGGAAGTTTATAGCGTGTACGGTTTCAGGTCTCTCGAAGGGAGGCAGTTCTATACTTCTTCCATTCAAAAGAGGAAAGACACGAGAGACGTTTCTCTAAATAGAAGACATATCTCAATCGCAATCAATGGCAGCATTATTTCTTTCTTGTCCCGGACACGTTTATCATTCATCTTTAATCGCGTGAAAATTTTTTAAGCCTTACTAAAAAGGAAAACAAACTTTAAAGAGTTCTGAAGGATATGTGATAAATTACGTGTACATGATATTTCTAGTTAAAATGACCTATGACAAGTACCTTGAAAAATATTAAAGGCAATAAAGAAACATTTCATAGAAATGGTTGGTTGTTCGAATATCATCGAGAGAACGAGAGTTTTTTTATTTCAATTTCGAGTTACGTATGGATTCACGAGCGACTCTCATTTGTTGAATTCCATGTTCGATGAGAGCACAACAATGTCTTTCCTTCGAAAGATCCCGTCACGGTTCGTCTGGGACTCGTGGAAGAGATCTTCGAGTAAGAGAACTGCCTCCGAAGCTCTGCACAAGACCGGACAATTTTCAGAAATCGTAAAGCATCATTTTTACGGGGATGGAATGAAAAAAATACAGTAAATGAGAGGGGGGGATTAGATTTTATGCGGGTGCTTTGGCATTTTGCTTCCTTTAAATTGCAGTCCAAGACCGTCGATACCTCCGTTCCGGACACAAAACAAGCCCCGTTCTCGCTCGCTTTTTCATCCGGCCGAAGGAAAGAAGGGGAGCAAAAAAAAAATGAAGTCGGAACGACCTCGTGCAACGATGGAAACGCGCAACTCTTTCGCGGTAAGAAGAAGGGGGTTGTTGCCTGCGAATTCTCTCATTGCTGCCTTCCTCCGTCCTCTTACTGCTGCGTTCTCCCCGTGGCCATTTTGCCATAGAAACGACCCTCGGTTATTACAGTGCAAACTCCCGATAGCCCGTTTCGAGTTCGCGTATGCAGCCGTTCGCGCGCAGAAGCGACTTGGAAAAATAGAGCTTAATTTTAATACTAAGCTTAGCAAACTTGAGGAAATAAAATCAATATTGTAATTCATCATAGTAATAGTTATCAAAAAAATAAATGCGATGGAGGTGCAGGTATGTCAAACAAATATTTAAATCGTGAGACTTTTATTAATAAAATTTAAATCAAAGATGTATTCAATAATTTTCATAGATTTTGACAAATTTAAAGATACATTTTAAATACAAACAGGAATTAAATTGCCTTTTTGTTTTATCAGAATCTACGTGATAAAAAGAGAAATGTAACTTCAAATGTAGAGGAATTTTATCATGATTTCAATAATAGGTGTCATTGTTAATGTATATCGAAATTCTGCTTGTTCGTTTGTTCGGTCGTATGATCGATCGTAGCTCGCGAGGTAGGAAAATTGCGTCTGAAGATCGGGCGCATCTCGTCGAACGTTAATTTCAGACCGGATCGGATTCTCTATATACACATGCGTTGAGTAAATGGAAATGACGTGTTCATTATATCTCGTGCGGCACGAGGTCGTCTCATTAGTTAGAAAGATGGTGCTAATACGACTCGCTCTATGTTAGATGCGATTTATTATACTCGCCGCATTCGCGCGATTCTTTCTTTTAATCTTGCGAACGAACATTATTCAGACAAGCAAGCGGATATTTTATCGACTAAAATCTGAACGAGGTAACATTAAATGCAATAGGTAGATCCGAGATTATTCTAAATAATGTTTCCGCACTAATAAGACGTTAAAAAATAATATTTTTAAAGTAATTTAAGTTCTGAGGTTTTTGAAGCATTTTTAGTTGAGATATTGTACATCCTGGATTGCTGAAGGTGTTACAATTTCGGGACGTTACTCATCCAATGTTAAGTGGGTCTCCGTGCTGGCGAGTATGCGGGTGGTCTTTCCGTTTGCAAAGGCGGGACGATTTTATGGTTTCCGCTCTCCCGAGACCTAAGCCACCGTCATTTTCAAGGCTCGTTCGTAGCTCAAATTAATTGCCCTCTAATGCTACTGATATATTGTTGCGGACGCGTCGGTTATTACAATGACATTAAAGGAAAATTAATTGCAAATTCACGCACTCATTGCGATAATTGGATAGAAAAGCAAACATTGTCATGAGTTTATTAATAAGCGCACTAAAAAGATATTAATAAATCGCTATTTTTTGCAAAATATAAGTTAAAAAATTGCTGATTGCTATTAAAATCATGAGAGTCGAAGAAAATGATAGTCGTCGTTTGTTTAGTAGATTATCTAGAAGCGAATAGATACAATGAGTTCTCGCGCGCCAATGGAAAGACCGTCGACCGCAGTGGCATTTGCATCATTCACCTTGAGAGGTGGATACCGCGAGTAGAGAGCCTTGTGTCTCACCGCGGATTACGTTCGAGAGAATTTATCGCCCGGCTAGTAACGCCGATTTCGCTCTTCCACTGCCTCCTCTTTCTCTTCACCGTTCTTACGAGGTTCTATGTCATGGAATTAATCTTTCCAGAGTTGTATTACTATAATTTAATGATATAAATTATTATATCATTATATTAACAAGATATCTAATTAGAAAATTTAGTATAGGTATTTCAATAATTGTTTATCGTTTGTTGTATTATAATGACACGTTCATATAATATAATAATAAGATTAAAGTGAAGTTTCTTTAGCAAACAATTGACTTTTTTTAATGAGAGCATATACACTTCTCAATTTAATAAATAATGTTTTAAATAATCTCTGCGAAAATTTGCCAATATTCTAAATTCCACATATGACCAAATATCAATAGTATGCTCCGCATCACCAAATATGTCGTGCTCATGCTCAGTCTTTTTTTAATCATCTTACTCACATTTTTTTATTTGCAGTTAATATATGAATAACGACGTGATTATGACGATTCATGCCTTCGTAATGATCTCACATGCTACCGCCCTTTCTCAGCAGCTGCTCGTTATTTCGTCGAGCATCAGTAATTTTGCCGGAACTATATCATGAAAAGCGATAGCACACGATTGTCAGCGCTGAAATAATAACGTGCAAAAAGCGGGCATGCGCGTAAGAGAGGGGGGAGAGAATTTTTTCTTAGCAACGTCGCGATAACGAAACCGACTTTCTGTTCTTGCCGAGCATGCGGATATTTCGACGCGTGTTTCACGTGAAATTACATGATCTACCTTGTCTTGTCGAAAGATGATCTTTCAATTAAAATATTCTGCCCGATGGCTTTAAACATTCGCACCACTACAGTTCTTCTATATGCGCGTTAGAGTTAATCTCTTTTCACGATACGAAAATTTCTGTCATCTCTAACAAGCAGGAAGAAAATATTTCTAAGTCTCTTCGTAAATCGTGGAATCGAAATCACATATGTATATATTGAAGTGCGTGCTAACGAGTTACAACTTGATTCTTACAAATGTAAATAAAACTTCTGCACATGTACGCTGAAACACACACACACACACGTGTGTATGTATAGAGATATACACGTAGACAGACTGTATATGTACATACGTATATATTGATACAAATAATTAGATTATTTGTGCATACGTGTGCGTATGGGGGGGAGAGGGATTATCCAAGAGACCATATTGGTCTCATTAGTAAACTCCAGCGATTCTCACGAGGTTCGCAATGAAAGGGAATCACATCTTATAGGTACGTGTAGTAAGGTGTAGACCAAACAAAACAGAAGAGGGAGGTATAGAAAGAGATGAGAATTGTGTGTTACCGTGGTAGTGAACGATGAGAGAGGCGTGCCAGTCGCGGTAATAGCCGGTAAGCTGCGCTATTATGAGCGGCTCGAAAAAAACATGATGTCACGCTAGGCCACTCCTGCGGTTGACCGAAAGCTGAAAAAAATGCATTACAATTCGTCGCTTCTTATTGTTTACCGCAATTGGCCATCGCTGACCCTTTTCCCCGCTCGTCTCTCGCCGTTATTGTTTAGCTGCTCGCGCGCTTCCCGCCGCTTCATTATGCCCTTTGTCCGTGCGCGCGGCTTTTATCGTCTGTTTAATATTTATCGTTGACGCACGGGTGCAATACTAATTTCTTCGGGTTGCGCCCGTCATTCGATCTCATGCGTCAACTCCGAAAGCTCGTCAGTTTGCGAAAACTATGCGCGCGCGTTAATCAGTGATTTAACTATCGATCTTTATATAAATGCGATTGTTGAGTCTACACATATGCGTACATACAACGCTTTAAAATAAATAGTTTACAATATTAAATTCTTTGATATAATTTTCTTTAATTCTAAATGATTTATTTTGTCGCGAGCTTACTAATAATAAGATAAAAATCTCATAAAATGCCGCTACTCGCTCATATTGTTCATTAATAAAGATCCGTATTCTTAGAATGAAAAATGTTGACTAATGTAAGAATATTAACGCGCATCATATTCTACATGTTTCCTAATCTCTGTTGCATGCCATAGACTAATAACAAGAAACATAAAAGATTAAATCAATTCTCATTTAAGACTAGATAAGTCGCGCGCGCAACTGGTAAATTAAGGGCCACAAATAAAATGAGAAATTTAGCGAGGATGCATTAGCAAGGTAAAATATATCCGATATCATCGGCGGCCCTCGTGTGACATGAAGATGACGGGCTGGGCGTCTCTAATTAATGACAGTCGGCAAGTCGTCGAGAGAGGGAGGTCTGAAAGACTTGGGTGGATTCGCGTGGATCCACGCTCGAGTTTGCGTGACTCAGACTGCTGCTTTACCCACCTTTACAGGTGACTATTCTACCTGATCGCACGTTACATGACGTGACGCCGTTTCTCTCGCGAAACTCTCATTCGAATGCGATCCGCGTCTCGTCTCTTTAAAATCGACTAATCTTATCAAGTCGATCTCTCTCTCTCTCTCTCTCTCTCTCTGACTTTCGATCATATATTAGAAATTTTTTTGAAAAATAGAGAGCCTAAACGCGCTTTAAAGTTGCAAGACATAAATTTGCACAGGCAAATTTAAAAATCCAATACGCTTCAATGTGGCACTCTAGGATTAATTCATAGGTGCGACGAAGCCTTTCGGAGCTGAGAGAAAAGCTCGCTTGGTCACGCGCATGCGCTAATTTATTCATGCGAGCGAGTAAGGCGTGAGCGAAGAGCTTTTTGACATAGATAAGAGCCGCTGAAATTTAACGGCGATATCGATGGTTCGGCATGCGTGGTATGGGCGCCGCGCCGTTGCCGCGCGCGCGGCGGGTGCACCGGTTTCCGAGGCGCTCAGTTGGGCAGCTGATATGGTCGCTATTAGTCTCTGATGCTCAGAAGCACTATAGTACCCATCTCTCCTCTGTCCAAGTGCAGGAAGAGAGCGAGCGAGAGAGCTGAGGCTTTTTGGGGCGTAGATAATAGTGAGAGAGTGCCCATTAAGGGCGAATCACCCAGGTCAGAGAAGGCTTCGCAAAACTTCGCACCTGCTCTATATCATCGTCATAATACATATTCATAACCAACCTCCGGAGAAAAAGAGCGCTTTAATCCTTAAACCGCATCGGCGTAACGTGACGCGGCAGGAAAACGTCTGATTCACGGAGTCATGAGGATAAAAACTTTCATAACTCGTTATTTCAGTTTGCTTGTGCTGCAAAAAAATGTCCTCTCTTAATTCTCGACTTCATGACGAAAAGGAGTTGTATACCTCAGAGAGATGCAACTAGAAGAAACATTCGACAAGGTTGATGTCGTTTTCAGGCTTGCTGTCTATCTCTTCCCTCCCTCCCTTCTTTCTCGCTTGTCCATTCGCGGTTAAGGCGGCCACGCGAGTGGCCGAGAATAATGACATTATTGCGGGGCCACTCGCAGCTTACAGCAATTAAAACTTTGGTAATTGTCGCGGATGAGTAATATAATTACCACATCGCATCGCGATGCGTCGTGCTATGTTGCGATCTTGCACTTTATTCTCTTCGATCTCCTCTTAGATTTCGCCACAAAGTTGCCAACTACAAAATTGTTCTATCACAAGATGTATCTTGTAATTATAAAGAAAGTATTAGGCATTATTCCATGTGTTTGCGTTAAAAATGTAATCATATAAATTGAGTTCTGCCGCAATCGTCGATAGTGCCCTTCCGAGAAAGAAAGGTAACATCATTATTGAAAACATTTAGCAAGCACTTCGACTGCAGATAAAAGTTACTTACATTCACATTATCATAAAATATTTACAGTTAATAATCGCATGTAATAATTTACGGCCACATTTTTGTCACTGTATTTTTAAGTGACACATGTATATACGAGATGTTCAAAATCGCTGCATAATATTATAGCATATTCTTGTGATTAAACTCGAAAATAGTCTAAATAGCCATCATTTCGATACATTTACGAATCATTAACTGCAAGTGTTTTCACATTATTTGATGCTAATTATAATAATTATAGGAATAATCGTGGCTAATATGTTTTAGTACTTGTCGCGTTTTAAGAAATAAAACGCAACGGCTACCTATTTGTTCGAATCTCGGCGCCCAAATAACGACAAGAAAACCATATGTGTATGTACAGTGCACATTGTATAAAAGTTACAAAGACGGGTGCATCAGCCAATTTGCTATTGCCATAAAATATAAAAAGGTATACAATAAATATATGCGAAATACTTTATTTCTATCATTTTAAATTGATTTTGATAAATGCTATATTTGTCACACATTAAATCAAATGTATACAAGGGAGGATAAGAAATTTAAATTTCATTCTGATTATGGAAACATCACATGACATAATGAAAATTGTACATACGCTTATATTATTGTTTATAACTCAAAAACTATTGTTTCCTCAATATTTTCTACTCTAATTATTTCCTAGAATATAATGTATATTGAGATTTTATATTGAAATGATTATTGGATATCTGTTGACATTACATAAAAAGTAATGTTTAAAAAATTTTATTTTAGTTTTTGCAAAAATTGAAGTATCTTTCTCGCACAAAAACTTTTACGTAAAATGCTTTTTTCAAGCGCATTTTGTCATCGACAACTCTGCGACAAGACAATGCTATCATTGTTATCATCGCAAACGTAGCTACATCATGTGGCACGACGCTGAACGGCCACCGCTTTAAATCGCTTCGCCTCGACGAGACCGTTAAGCCCTTCATGGTTAACCGAGGCTCGTGCTACAACACAGTCGCCTCTTTGTCGATTAGCACGCCAACTCGCCAACCAGGAACGGCTGGATTTTTACCGAGC